AGCTGCAAACTCTCAATGAGAGTGAGGTTGAGCACCAAGGTGGAGAAGATCAACATGAGGATGTTTCTACAGAGCCGGAAACTTCAAAGTCCAGTGCACGAGCTCAACAGTCTATTGCTTCCGGTAGACCGAAGAGAGCGACTACAGGAGTACCTCCGCAGAGGTATGGTTTTGAGGACATGGTGGCGTATTCATTTCAGGTTGCTGAAGAAGTGGATCCAGGTGAGCCACAGTCCTATAGAGAAGCCGTTTTGGGTGGCGAAGCTGATCAGTGGCTTACCGCAATGGGAGATGAGATGGAATCCCATGACAGGAATCAGACTTGGGAGCTAGTCAAACGACCACAAGGAAGGAAGATTGTTACAAACAAGTGGATCTACAAGAAGAAGGAAGGAATCACTTCTAAAGAGGGAATGAAATTTAAAGCTCGGGTGGTTGCACGAGGCTTCTCGCAGAGGGAAGGAGTTGACTACAATGAGATTTTCTCACCAGTGGTCAGACATACTTCGATTAGAGTGCTACTAGCGATAGTGGCACATTATGACTTCGAGCTCGAGCAGCTAGACGTGAAGACAGCTTTCCTACATGGAGAGTTGGAAGAAGAAATTTACATGACTCAGCCAGAAGGATTCGAGGTTCCGGGAAAAGAAGACTATGTTTGTAAGCTGAAGAAGTCCTTGTATGGACTTAAGCAGTCTCCGATGCAGTGGTACAAGAGATTTGACAGTTACATGCTTGAGCTGGGCTACAATAGAAGTCCATATGATTGTTGTGTATATCACAGCAAAGTGGAGGATGGTTCGATGATCTATCTTGTTCTGTATGTGGATGATATGCTCATAGCTGCGAGGTCGAAGTCTGATATCCAGAAGTTAAAGGAGCTTCTCAGTGCTGAGTTTGAGATGAAGGATTTGGGAGCTGCTCAGAAGATCTTGGGTATGGAGATTTACAGGGATAGATCGAAGAGGAAGCTTTTCTTGTCACAGAAGAGCTACATCCAGAAGATACTGTCAAGGTTTGGCATGTCTTCAGCAAAGCCCTTAAATACTCCTAGTGCTTCAAATGTTCATCTATCCTCAGCTTATGCACCACAGTCAGAGGCTGAGAAGGAGTACATGCCGAGAGTCCCATATGCTAGTGCAGTAGGTAGCTTGATGTACGCTATGGTATGCACTAGACCTGATCTTGCACATGCTGTTAGTGTTGTCAGCAGGTTTATGATACAACCTGGGAAGGAGCATTGGCAGGCTGTGAAGAAGATCTTCCAGTACCTTAAGGGTACACCTGATGTGGGGATTAGCTTCGGAAGTGATACAGAGTGCTTGGTGTCTGGGTATTCTGACTCGGACTATGCTGGAGATGTTGACACGAGGAGATTGATGACCGGTTATGTATTCACTCTTGGGAGTTCTGTAGTGAGCTGGAAGGCAACTTTGCAGTCGGCGGTGACATTGTCTACTACTGAGGCAGAGTATATGGCGTTGACAGAAGCTGCTAAGGAGGGAATATGGTTGAAGGGACTGGTTGGTGATCTGGGTCTACATAGGGGTGTTCAAATGGTTACCATGGTTATAACCAAACCAAATAAGGCTAAATTCCATTAACCATGGAATACAATATCATAACCAAACCGTCCAAACTAACACAACAACCAAATTAACCAAACTAAAGTTTAATCGGTTTGGTTAATTGGTTAACCAGATTAACCAATATAAAATCACATTATCATTGACGATGAAAATTTTCCGGTTAATGCAACAATTTGCAATTTATATAATGCATAAAACATAACAATCAACACGTAGTTATAGTTGACCCTTAACAAAAATACATGCAACTAAGACAATTATCTTACGATTAGTATAGAAGTATTCACCTAACAAAAATTTATGACAATGGTATGGGTTAATGAATTGTTGTGTTTGTGTAAATTGACTTAGTCTCTTAGCAATTATCATAAGCTGGAAATGACCTTCCTTTTAAGTTTTCATCCATCATAATGTATGAAATTTATCTAAATTAGACGTCCATATGTTGTGGTCTACATTTTACATATACAAATATACACTATATGAGCAATATTGAGCTTTATATTTTATGAGTCTAAAAGGGATGAACGTTAATTCTTGAATGATTATGCAAAGTATTAAGTATGTTGTGTATATAATATATGTTAGATATATGACTAATTACTTAACTGGCTAATTTGGTTTGACTGGTTAGGAGTGTCTGAAACCAAACCAAACCACCTAAACCAAACAAGCTAAAAACTTTAACCAAACCAAATTAATTATCCAAATTAACCGAACCAAATTATCCAAATAGTACCGGTTAAAACGGTTACCATGGTAACCAAACCGTTTGAACACCCCTAGGTCTACATCATGATCATGCAGTGGTGTATTGCGACAATTTGAGTGCAATATGCTTGGCCAAGGATCAAGTCCACCATGAGAGGACTAAGCACATCGACGTGAGGTATCATTTCTTGAGGACAGAGAAGAGGATTAAGGTGAAGAAGGTTGGCACCGCGGATAATCCTGCTGATATGTTCACGAAGCCGGTTCCACATGGCAAGTTCCAACACTACTTGGACTTGCTGAATGTCTTGAGTGGGTGACTCCGCCCTACGGGGCATTGATGGCGGGAGAGAGAGAGAGAAGGAGCAGAGTACATCAGAGATTTCAGAGGAAGAGGATTCAAGTCAAGGTGGAGATTTGTTGATGTGACTTGAATCGGACTATCAGCCGCGGGTCAGCGAGTGGGGTCCAGGGGCAACGCCCCCGGCCCGCGGTGTATGAGCTCAATGTATTTGGGTTTGGGTTCTGGGCCTGGTCTGTAACCGTTTCCTTTGCCAGATTGGATTAGGTTTAGACCCACATGGAGAAGTACTATAAATACTTCTCATACTCCTCTGTAATATGTAATCTCCTCGGTATAGTGAAACTGGCTCTCTCTCGCCCATGAACGTAGCTAACACACAGCGTGTTAGTGAACCACGTAAATCGTGTGTCTGTGTTTTTCGATTCTCGCTTTCGTATTCTTGCTTTATCGATTCCGACGATTTCATGATCCGTAGCAGCGCGTTTATAACAGTTTGCGTATTGGTACAAATAATATTTAAGTAGTAATCTATGTGATTTAAACTTGGAACACTGCCACTATTAGTAAACATATTTTCAATTACACTACAACTCATTTGCTATTGTGTTTTAGAACCAAATATAATAGTAAAATATTATTCTCATCCCAAATTATTTTCAAAACCTAATGATTAACCCAATTAGGGGATGCCCTTGTCTAGTTGGATATGTCGAGAGATATTTGTTGAGCAGTATAGACACCAAATGTATTTTACCATTTTAAGAAGCACATTTGTGCTTTTAATATAACTTTTATTAGTCAGATATTTTCATTTCTAATAATTATTTAATTTAATTCTAATATTTAATTAAAATTAATTTTTGAGAGAGTACACCCTAATGTAGAATTTCTGGATCCCACTGCACCCAAAGGCTTGGTTGAACCACTTTTCTCGGAAGTCAACTTCTCAAGGGGTCCCGAAGACCAAATGTCAACCTCGGTTTCTTCACTCCTTTCCTTTGGGCTTACTGCCTCGTAACCTTGTTTGGTTTAGATTAGATGCCGAGTAAGTTGAAAAAAGGGACAGGTTACGGTGATTACTATTTTATAGTAATCACCGTGGTTACTAAGGGAAAACTGAGTATAACAAAAAAATTATTAATTACATTTTTAATAAATTATATTTAAGGAAATTACATAAATATATTAACTACAATTTTTTTCTCTTTCTCTCACTTCCACAATTTTTAGCCAGATCTCTCCCTTTTTTTCTCAATCTTTCCTAGATTTCGTCCCGTCAAACTAATACCGCTGCAACAACAAAACAATAAATCAATACCAATCCATTACAAAAATACTACCATTGCGCAAAACACTAATACCATTCGAGAAATAAAAACACCACCATTTAACAAAACATCAATACAATTGCAGATTTAATCAATACCATTACAACAAAACAACAAAACAATACCAATCCATTACAAATACTACCATTGCACAAAATACTAATACCATTCTAGAAATAGAAACACTATCATTTAAGAAAACATCAATACCATTGCAAATTTAATCAATACCAATGCGACAAAAACAATACCAATACGACAAAATCAATACCAATACGACAAAACAAAAAACAATACTACACTGTTTCATAAAACAAACAACAAACCACTACCAAAACAAAAAAGAAGATCTAGGTTATATATATAATATATATCTACGGGGATAGAGATAGGGAGGAAAGGAAATTGTCGTCACCATCTCACCCCTCCACCATGACTGTCACCCAGAGAGCTCCACCATGGCCGTCTCCCCCCCCCCCCCCCAACAGAGAGAGAGAGAGAGAGAGAGACCAACGGGGTAGCCGGAGGGTTGGCCGCCGACAGTTGGACGGTGGTCGAGAGTGACTGCGAACGGAGAAAGGGAACAACCAATATAGGAGGTGTTGACGGTGATGGAGAATGGACTTGAAGTAAGGTTTAGATATAATATATAGAAAATAAATCTTTAAAGGATAGAAATCAGGTGTGATATTTTTTTATTCTCAAAATTACCCTTAATCTAATCTACACCATCAATTTAAAATTAGAGTGAAATAAAAATAATTAAAGGTGTAGATTTTAGTAGCCAACATGATTACTCAATTTTGAGTAATCACCCTAACACATTCCTTAAAAAAGTATAATTCTTGCTCCCGTTATAACCCAGCCCAATATGAGAAGAGTTCACAATCCGGGCCCGTTAATTTGTTGTTTCTTTCTCCAAATCCTGGGCCCAATAACAACACCCACCCAAGAATAGTAAACGCTCACTGTATTTGACAAAGCCAATCAGTGAGCAGATAGTAGAGAAGGTCCAAGAAAGGTGCTCCGACGAAGAAGGCGACAAAGTCTAGAAGTCGGGAAATAAGGTTCGAGCGTTGAAAACGCGTCATCTCTTTTCATGGGCCAAAAAGGGCACATTGCTGATTGCCCTCTCGGGCTTCACTACGCACGTAAACCCCTCCACTGTTTCCCTTTTAAATTTTAATATTTTATTCAATCACTGTATTGCTTCTTGAATCTTGACCACAGACTGATGCAGCCGCAAGGAAGCCACGGCGACGACCTCGAATTGACTTATGGCAACCATTCTCCTTATATAAACCGCCATTACCAGAACCTTCACCCACCAAGCTTCTCATCCAAGCTCTAAACACCAATCTCTCAAACTTCCCACATCTCGCCCTACTCGATTCCATCCCTCCTCTGAAGCACACTCACTCACTCTGTTTTCCCCTCCTTCTCGTCCAAAGGCAAAATGAAGGTAAGAGTTCATTACAATTAGGCGCGGTACCTATTCTCTATCAGGTCAATTCTGTTGTAGGTTGCTGATTGAGCGTTTGTATGCTTAATTACTGTTTCCTAATCTTGATTCTTTTTTTCTGAACAGGTTGTGGTTCTTAAGCTGGATCTGCACGACGACAGAGACAAGCAGAGAGCGATGAAGAAAGTCACAGGGATCTCAGGGGTAGACTCGGTGTCGATGGACATGAAAGACATGAAGATGACGGTGGTCGGAAACGTGGATCCGGTGAAGATAGCGAGCAAGCTCAGGAAAGTGTTCCCGACGGAGGTAGTCTCGGTGGGCCCACCGAAGCAGCCGGAGAAGAAGAAGGAAGACCCGCCTCCGACGGCGGCAGGGAAGAAAGATGAAGGAAAAGACAAGAAGAACCCTTCTGCTCCTCCCGTCGTCCCCTATTATTACGCTCCTCAGCCTCAAGTCAACGGTGGTTACTATTACCACAATTACCCTTATCAACAACAGAAGGGGTACAACAATTACCCTTACCAATACGGCGCCGCTCACGTTCCGGGGGAAGATCCAAATGCTTGCGTCATCTGTTAGACGGAACTCAATCATGCACAAAGAACAGTCTGATCTGGGAAAGGGCTGCCAAGTTTGTGTAAATAATGGCGCGGCTGTTCAAGGGTGGAGGCTGTAACTAAACTTCAAAAAGTAGTTACTGGAATTTTTGTATTTTCTTCTTCTTTTTCCCGTTACCAATGAGTGACGACCCCCAGATTCATTTCTTGAATTTAATGAATTATTGTTGCATTATTAAGGATTATTTTTCCTATTATTATTTTATCTGTATGTTTAGGTACAATTTTCTGCGGTTTGCATTCATTTTCCGTTTCCCTTATTGTTTATGGTTTTTTCCCCCTCCAGATTCCACTCAAAGCACGGCAGCCACTAAATTATCATGAAAATATTGTAACACTCTGTTTCCAAAGGAAGAGAGGAAAATGGAAGGAAAGGAAAATTTGGAGGGGAGGGAAAATGAGAGAAAGGAAAAGTTGAAAGGGAAGGAAAATGTTGTTTCATGGAAGAAAGTGAAGGGAAAGTGGAGGAAAAAAGTATATTGTGAAGTGTGCTAGATATGTTATTTTATTGATTATGTAAGAGTAAATATGTGAAAAACATATATTATAGAAAATATAGAAATTGATATTTTGAATAACCTACTTCTACATAAGCTCTTCATGATACCAAAATCTTTTGTTGATTTTATATTTTCAAAATTTTTACTAAAATTTTTATTTTAGAAAATTTGAATAATATTTTGACAATGTTTTATACGTGTTTAGTACGGGAGCCATCAAAAGAAAGAATGGAAATTAAACATCTTGACAATAATACGAATACGAAAATTTTAAATGGATAAAATACGTACAAGTACATATACGTGTATTAAATGCAGTATTTACTAACTATGGTTAATTATGGAGAATAAATGGTGGCAACTTGCCTAAAAAATAAAAATAAAGCTAAGCAAAGGAAAGGAAATTGCATAGGGAAAATGGAGAGCAGAGGAGAATGTTAATTTTCTCTCCAATTTGAAGGGTGGGCTTAAATAGTGACTTTTCCTTTCTTTTCCTTTCCAAGGTCACTGTTCCTCCTCTTAAAAAACAAGGGAAAGTGTATAGGGAAATGAGCTTTCCTCCCTACATTTCCTTCCCCCTCTTTTCCGCCCTTTATGAACACAGTGTAAGAGTAAAGTGGGCGATACTTGGCAGCAACCCGGGTTGCAGCCCGTAGCTGCTGCCAGGCCAGGTGGCGCTTCCTGATTGGGCTATCATTAATTTTATTTTTTAATTACTAACTACAATAACGGAGGAACCGAACTGTACAAGACTTTCGTCATTTCCATTTTTTATTGGGATTAACGGTAAGGTGCAGCAGCTCTCAAATATCATAGCTTGCCTTAGTTACTTTTTACTCAACCTTTTGATTTAAGTTTTTTATTGCAAGAAGGAAAGTGATGACTTTTGATATTAGATTTGAAGTTTCAAGAACATAATTTTAAGAAAAACGATTTCTTACCACCCTGAACCACTTAGTACCACTTTCATTTTTAGCTAAAATTTTATATATAATGAACGAGTGACCTATTGTGATTTACAAATTTTCCAAAAAATTTAGGACCAAATATATTTGCCTTATATAGGATGGTAACTTATGGTAAACGATGGTGAAATATAATAATTGTGTTTAGTATATTTATTTATCATGCATAACACCATGCGGTTGAGGAGCTATGTTGAAACTAGGAGGTAGGGCTGGTAAACGGTTATTCTGTTAACGGTGTAACTGATAATCAAATTGGAACTGGGGCTTAACGGTTATACTGATAACCGATTATTGTGTACTTGTGCTGCATTGAGTTGATTATGTATTGATATATATCTATTAAATTATTTTTTATTCAATGATAACAACTTACGAAAAGAACACATGCCTATGTATGAAAAATTACAAAAGATTTACAATTGAAAAAAGGAGGTCTTTTGTTGGTTAGGTTATCGATCGGTTATTTTGGTATAACCTTGCCGAATCACTTAGTTAACGATTATCTAGTTAACCGACAAAATAATCGAGAACCGACTATACGATTACGGTTAACCGACTCATTTAAACGGTACGGTTAACAATAAGTTTAAAGTACTTAACGGTTAACTGAGAACCGATTAAATGGTTTCGGTTATAACCGAACCAAATCGATTATCAGCCCTACTAGGAGGGGTTGTAGCACCCATCAACTGTGAAATATAGGTAAAGTTACATTAAAACTTGATAAATTTCTCACCATTTTAATACAAAAGATTAATAAAAATCTCAAATTCGCTAAAAGAATGTAATTTGAGATAATATCTATTTGAATATATCTTGAACCATACATTTTTTAACTATGTATGCCACCATTGAAAAGTATGTTCCTATTATCATACATTTTTTTTTTATCATGAATGATTTATTTCTTAGTACAAGAATTAATTCATTAAAATTATGTTCTTGAAACTTCAAATCTAATATCAAAAGTCATCACCCCCAAATGTTACTTCTTGCCAAATAAGCATCTGAAGAACGCAAAAGTTGCCATGGTGAAAATTTTTTTTTGGAAACAAAAACATTTAGTTAATGACATATTTATGGAGCTATCTCTCTCCTTTTAATATTTTTTTCTTTCAATCAATAATTCCTTTTTTCTTTTGCATTATATATGCAATAATAGACTATTGTTTGTGAAGTTACATCTATCGCATTTTTTTAAAACGAAACATATTTTTACATCTTTAAGTCAAATTTCTACTCATGTATACTAGAACTTATAAGTTATATTTTAATGAAAAATTCAAAAAATACCCACATAAGTAATAATATTTCATTCGATCAAACAAATATAATTATGGAATGAGAGAAAAAAGTTGTTTGACGATCAATCTATTTTAATAAATACTTTTCATTGTTCATTAAAAAAAAGCATGGTCCATGAAACCGTACCGTACCGGCGGTTCAACCACAAAATACCAGTATCGGAGGCTAAACCGGTAGCCGGTATTCAATGGTACTAACGGTTCAACTACGGTTAAACCACGGTTTTGCCATAAAATACCCTACCACTGACTTTTCCGATACGGTCTCATGGACCATGAAAAAAGGCTATTTTTTCTCCACGTGTACTGTTCACAATAGGATTTTATCTCATATGCCCTTTTTGCTCCTTTTATGTAATATTATTCATATGATTTTTATTCCCTACAACCACTTTTACCATAAGTCTAAAATTCATAAATAATTCTTATTACACAACATATTATGAATCTACTTTTCTGCAATATTAAATTTGTTTTATTCCCTACAACCACTTCAAAAATAAGTCTAAAATTAATAAGAAATTATTATTATACGACATTATGAAATATTTATGTAAAAAATTTCAACAAAAGTTACATAAATTGAAAATTCCTTGATGTTACTTACTATAACTTGATTATACCATTAGACCACACATTATGAAAAAATTATGTAATAACGTTTTATAACTGTTACATGAGTTTTTACTTAATGATTAAGACACTACATAAAGTTTATGGACAAATAATCATTTATGTATCAATTAAAAAAATATGTGTAATTTTTCTATAATAATTAAACACGACGTAAACTTTATGTAGAAATAGTTATTTACAATGTATCACTTAGACAAATGGATGACGTAAGTTATTCGTAATTATTAAAACATCACGTGAAACTTACATATGTATCTTTATCTGAATAATTTGATAAATTATTTTATTTAAACTAACTCATTAGTTTGTACCGCGGCGGAGCGCGGACCAAAAAACTAGTAGTATAGATGGCTGTTTTGTGAGAACATTGTGCCACATCAGCCATAGTTGATTTCTCCTTAATCCATTGATTTTACCATTTCTTTTTAAATGAATTGAATGACGAAACTTAACTTACCTAGCCAAACAACCTGTGCATACGTTAAATGTTACCAATAAATATAAATACACCACTTACCAGCCAATGGAGATTAAAGACACCAAACCAATTACCAAATGCACCTATCATTTGTGGGACAAGCTACGGTGCTAATCCTATAGGGGTTAGCACCGTCCTAATAGTCGTGGTAGTGTTTTTGCATGGAAATTTTTGGTAGTCTTTTTTTATTGATCGCCTGTGTTGTTAATATGTAGGGTCTGTAGTAGTTTGATGTGCAGTCATGGTAGTGTTTCTGGTCATAGTTGTCTTGGGATTATGTAGTTTCGTCAATATTGAGGTGCAATATATTGGTAGTAGTGGTTTTTAATAATACGTGTATAGTGTTTGTATGAATACGTGTGTAACGTTTTTGGAGTTAGCAGGTGCTAACGAGGTATGGGATTAGCATCCCATCCCACCCCATCGTTTGTTGTAATGAAAGACACCAAAAGACAATTATAAAGGTTATCTCCAAATGCATTCCCATTTTTCTGTGTAGTTCTTATACTTAACCTTAAATTTTGAATAGAACATGTATTACAAGTTAGCATCTCCTATATCACCATTATCCCAACTTATTAAGTTTTAATCCTGATTTTTTAGTAATATTTACCATTTTTCATCCATTAATTCCTTCCCCTATAGTTTCCACGAATTGACAATATGTATGGTATAATAGTTAATATGGTCAAAATAAAAAGTATATTATGATCTCTCTAACTATTGGGTGAGTGTTTTGTTTTTATTTAGTTTGCTTGGACATGAACTATTACTCTGTTTGGAAATGCTAATAAGAAAACCTCTTGCAATAATGAATGTAGTTTTTTGCTCTTTCAAAATTGCGATGACTTTTGATACCAAGCAAATTTGGTGTGATTTTTTATTAATGTATTTTGAATTATTATATATTTGCATGCTTTCCTCTGAAAAACATTAGTTTCCTTTACATGTTTGTGTATCATTAATAGGTATTTGCTCGGCTTAGTCAAATCTTATATTATAAGCGGTTTTGATTTAACAGGATTTTGGCTTTTGATCGGTACTCAAACATGTTATGTTGTTACTATACTCTAATTTATTTATAACTTTTTATTTACTTGAAATATTTAGACCTCATTATTTTTTAGGGATTTTAGACCTCCTTTGATTATTCCGTCAAGTCACTTTCATTTATTTAAAGGCTTAATTGCAAGTTTGGTCACTCGAATTGCTACAAAATTTCAGGTTTGCCACTCAAATTGATTTATTCCATTTATAGTCACTTAAATTAGTTGAACAGTCCAAGTTCAGTCACTCTCCGTTAACCTCCGTTAGACTCCGTTAATGACGACCGTTAAGTGATGACGTGGCTAACAGAAAATCACAGTCAACATATTTTACCACTAAAAAACGATG